AGAGTATCATTTCACTCAGTCCTCCCAGTCACTCAGTCCTCACAGTCACTCAGTCCTCCCAATCGCTCGGCACACGCACTCGGCACTCGCACTCAGTAGGTACCTGCGCTTACTGGGGGTGTGTACAGACTCTGGAGGGGCACATTCAACCCAAGTGCTATAATCTGCACGGAAAACTCACGTGCTGCATGGACAACTCACGTGCTATAGTATCAATATCTGTATCCGCACGGACAACTCACGTGCTATAATAGGCCAATCTGGCCTGCTGCGACGTGCAACCCGATCCCATAATAATAAAGTATATAAAGCCAATATGGTCTGCTGTGGCGTGCAACCCGATCCCATAATTATCCTCACAATCAGGCCCTCGGCCTCACGCAGTCATCAATCTCTCTAGTCTCTCTCTCATGGGCTCACAATGTCATGAAAATAGCCCAAAAATGATGATATGATGTATCAATAAATAACAACAGATACTGAGATATGATATGTAATGACAATATGACCTATGTGGGTCCTAATAATACTGGCACATAGCCTCAACATGATTTTTAATATGATTCTCAGCTTAATTTCTTTAGCACATAAAACATACATAGAAAATGCCAAGATTATTTGACTACAAAATTTCACAGAAACAATTATGTCACAATTTTCATGGTGCACGCTCACACGCCTGTCACCTAGCATGTGCTTCACCTCCCAACAATTTACATAATACATATATTCGGGGTTTATACCCTCAGCTCCAGCCTCCAAGATTAGAAGAGTTACTTACCTCGAACAAGACGAATCCAATGTCGAGCAAGCTAAACAATGCTCCAGAAATCCCATTCTACACGTATCAACTTCTGAACGACTTGAATCTAGCCACAATTAATTTGATTCAGTCAATACCAATTATTGTAATTAATTACATAAGGAAATACTAATTTTCCCAATAAAAATCCGAAATTAACTCAAAAATTGCCCGTAGATCCCACATCTCGGAACTCGACAAAAGTTACAAATTATGAACGCCTATTCAACCACGAGTCCAACCATATAAATTTTACTTAAATCCGACATCAACTCGACCCTCAAATCTTCAAACTAAACCAAGAGGGTTTTCAAAATTTTCCAATTTAATTCATAAATTAAATGTTAAAAACAACCATGGATTCAAGTAATTTAACCAATATTGAGTTAAGAACACTTACCGCGTTGTTTTTCTTGAAAATCTCCCGAAAATCCTCTCTCTCTGAGCTCCAAATCGGTAAAAATAGAAAATGGGACGAAGTCCCATTTTCATAACTTAAACTCTCTGCCGAGTCATTTGCTCTACGTGATCGCAGACAATCTCACGCGATCGCGAAGCACAGTTTGCCCCTGACCAGTTTTAACCTTACGCGATCGCGGACTTGTCCACGCGATCGCGAAGCACAGTTTGCCCCTGACCAGTTTTAACCTTACGCGATCGCGGACTTGTCCACGCGATCGCGAAGCACAAACGCGTGACCTCCACTTCTGCTCCACTTACTCTACGCGAATGCGACCTTCTTCACGCGTTCGCGAATAACAGACTCCCACAGCTACGCGATCGCGGACTTCTTCACGCGATCGCAAAGAATAAAATCGTTACTGCCTTAACAAGCCTACGCGGTCGCGGTTGCCTTCACGCGATCGCTTAGAAAAATTTCACCTCTGCCCAAACAAGCGATCGTGGACCTTCTCACGCTGTCGCATAGAAGGAAACCAATGACAGAAAACCAGCATTCTTCAGCTGGAATTTAAAGTCCAAAATTGATCCGTTAGCCGTCCGAAATTCACCCGAGGCCCCCGGAACCTCAACCAAATACACCAATAAGTCCTAAAATATCATACGAACTTAGTCGAAGCCTCAAATCACATCAAACAACTTCAAAACATGAATCACACATAGATTCAAGCCTAATGAACTTTGAAACTTTTAATTTCTACAAACGACGCCAGAACCAATCAAATCACGTCCGATTGACCTCAAATTTTGTGCACAAGTCATAAATGACATAACGGAGCTATGAAAATTTTCAGAACTGGATTCCGACCCCGATATCAAAAAGTCAACCCCCGATCAAACTTCCCAAAAATTTGACTTTCGCCATTTCAAGTCTAATTCCACTACGGACCTCCAAATAATTTTTTGGACACGCTCCTATGTCCAAAAAAACCATACGGAGCTATTAGAATCATCAGAATTCAAATCCGAGGTCGTTTACACATAAGTCAATATCCGGTCAACTTTTCCAACTTAAGTTTTCAATTATGAGACTAAGTGTCTCATTTCACTCCGAAATCCTTCCAAACCCGAAGTAATTACCCTGGCAAGTCATACAATAGCTGTAAAGCATAAATTGAGCAGTAAATGGGGGAACATGGATGTAATGCTCAAAACGACTAGCCGGGTCGTTACAAGGTTAGACAAGAGACTTACCTCGCTCTGAAATCCGATAACCGGCTCCAACGCCTCTTTAACTCCTCAAACCGATGCCAAACGATCCAAAACTAATCAAACAACGTGCAAACCAATCAAAATATACTCCAATACTCGTAATTTAATAATTTGTAATAATTCTCAACTCCGCTCGAAAAGTCAACAAGGTCAACGCACGGACCTACGTGACCGGATTCCAAATATTATTGAAAATAAGTTTTACACTTAACTTATATAGTATATATTCATAAACGCATCAAATTTTATCCACTAATTGACTCTCAAATCAAGAATT